TTGTTGAAGAAATTTGTTGAGGATAATGAGCTAAATTCATGATATGAACTTAATCGAATGATGATTATATTGTTAACATATATGAATAAGATAAAAACAATTGAGAAACTAATTTATTAATTATTGAATGAACAAGAGAATGCTTGGAATCTTTTATAAGATTTGTGTTTTCTTTTTTCTAACTACTAACTAAGCCAATCGATATATGTAGAAAAAAAAAAAGTCTCAGAAAAGAAATGGAAGGAATTGGCTCAACAAGCCTGATATTTTCATAAATGAGCCAATCAAAAGACGAATGAGAAAAGAGAAAAAAAAAAAAAAGAGGAAAATTCTCTTTCTTGTTCTCTACAATCTTTTTTCTTCTTCGTAATTTGCACCCAATTATGTTATTTTATACATTCTTTTCTCTTATATGAGAAAAAGATGGTTAGTCAATTACTTTCTTCGTCATTGATTTATTTCATATTTTTAAATGATATTAGAATTCATGAAAGACAACAAAAACAATGTATAGAGACTACCGTGCTATTCGGTTATCATTAGATAGTATCAAATTATCGAATACTCTGTTTTTCATCTTATCATTTGATAATTGTATTAATATCGTCAAGACATGATTGTAATACTATGGTTATTCTTAAGTAGAATTTCTTGAAAATAATAATTTCTATTCTTTTTTTTCTCAAAGAAATAGTGCTTCTTAATTTATTCAATAATCAGAAGAAAGTCTTTCTTGTTTCATGTTAACCATAAAAAAAATATCTGAAAACCATTATCTTAATGATAATATACTTTGAAACTTTAGTTTCTTTAAAAGATTTGAAGAATTACAGAAAAAAAAACCTAATCATGCATTCATGACTTATTAACAATAAATTTTTTTACTTGAATAAACAATCTATTGGTTCTCTAATCATTTAAATTTCTCATCTGATTACACATAGAAAACTTAAATAAGTTTCAATTATTCATTTACATGCTTCACTTTATTCTTTATTCTAAAAATTAAGATAGTAATTATAAAGATAATTTCTTAAAATTTTGTTTTTGAGGAATCTCACACCCATTTTACACTCATATAATATTGTCAAGTAGTTTGACGCGTGAATACCTAGTGTGCTTGCATTTATCCATCTCAATGATATAATTGCATAAATGAGCTCATCATTATTCACAAATATTAAGTTCTCTATTATCACTCGCATGATCGATTGTCAACACTTGAAACACGAAGTAAAATTTTAAGACTTTCATCAATCTAACAAAAAAAAACTATCATTAACAAAGCTAATTTTAATGAAATAAAATAAACAGTAGAATGTACATTACTTTTATCCATGGCTCTCGATGTGGGGGGGGGGGGGGGGGCTAGCCCCCCCCCCCATTTTTGTAGTGTCTGCGAAAATTTTTTATACTGTCTTCGAAATTTAATTTTACGGCTGCAGTCGACTGATCACGCGATAATATTAGCGGTGAAAAATTTTTGGTTTTGAGACAATTTTTCCGAAGATTTTACTTAGCCCTGGAGGGGGTAGGGGTATCTTCGTCGCGCTACCCGCCTCCCCCCTCCGGCCATCACATTTAATGAAAAATCGGAAAGTTCCTAAAAAAATAAGTGACTGTCTGCCAAGGTTTTGCGAAATGTCTGACAAAAGAAAAAAAAACTGTAGTCCCCCACTCTCAAAAATAATCGAGAGCCTTGATTTTATCTTAGCTACTAGAATGAATACAATATCAATTTATGGAATTTATTGTATTTATAATAAGATGAGAGATAATGATGAACATTTCATAAATATTATTCGTGCATGATCGATCAATATATAAATCTTTACAATCATTTTTACGAAGGTATTGATTGATACATGTAAGTTTATAATCTGTTGTATTCAAGTATCTATACATATTTTCGTTTTGCCATTCATTCCCTACAATCAATTGAGCAACACATATTTTTCTCATATATTTAGACAAGTGTAGGAGGTGCAAAACACCATAAATGATTAATGCTTCAACAGTTTGTTGTTGTTCTTCGTCTCTGATTTTGTCGATGTGTATATGATTGAGTTTGTTCGTGTCTTTGCTTTCTAATTGAATCATCTTTCTTGCCTCCTATTGCTTATCACAACAGACACGTAATCAGTTAGGCACTGACTTTTCTTTCTATCTCTCGTCATAGTTTTTATCATTTTTGTAAACTATTACATAGTATTATTTATTTCTTTTGATTATCTTCAGTATTTCTTGTGTTTTAATAGTAGAGTCAAATCTACTACTCATATTATTTAGAAAAGAAAAGCATTTAGTTCTCATTTAATCGATTGATTTTGTCACATATTTGCGTGCAAACAATATTCGATATGTGATTATGATCAAAAAATAATCTCTCATGAGAAATGATAGTGTCTAATCAGATATTTCTTTCTTGTAAATGATGGAATGAACAAACAATTAATCTACTCGTACATTGTTTGTATTGTTCTCTTATGGTTAATACTATGACTGTGTTGAACAGAAGAAAAAAAAGGTAGAAAAGAAAGCAATTGATTTTGAACATGCAATCGCACATTATAGTCATAGATGAGAAAATGTTAATTGTTATTCATCTTGAATGTCACCTAATATAGCCACGGCTTCGATTTCAACTTTAGCATTCTAAATAAATATATAAATAAATTCATTTGAATGAATTATTTTGCTATTTTTTTTACTCTTGGAAGAGCAGCTACTTGAACAGTTGATCGAGCGGGATGACGCTCCGAAAAGACTATAATAAAATATTTACATAGTTATTTTTAGATATTGGTAAAAATAGTAAAATTTTTTACATTCGGCATATACTTCATTCATTGCAGCAAAATCATTCATATCTTTCAAAAAAACATTAGCTTTCACAACTAAAAATAATATCGTTAATAATATAATGTTTTTTTTCTTTTTTTGTGTTTCTATCAACTCACCATTTTTGTATGAAGCACCTGCAGCCTTTAGAACTGCACCAAGATTTTTCAATGACTAAAATAAAATGGAATAAAACAAAAAACATCCGTATATATCAATGTGTTAATTGTACCTGACGAGCTTGTTCTTGTACACCTTCACCAGCAAATTGACCAGTTTTAGGATCAAGTCCAATAGATCCACTTAAATATAATGTATGTCCAATTACAACACCTTGGCTAAATGATACATTCTTCTAGAGGACCTATTAATCTTGTCAGTATTTATTACTCTTACCTGTATGGTCCACCAACAGGTCCAGCTTCAGATGTTGAAATTATACGACGAACAAGCTGAGATGATGTCATTTGATGATGTTAAAACGAATAATAAATGGATGTGAATCTAAAAGTGATATGCACACCAAATAAAATGAATTTACCATGGATAAGATAAGAAACAAAACCGTTTTTTTTTTTTTTTTTTTTTTAGGGTCATGCCATAATAAAAATGAAAGCGAAAGAAAAGGTTAAATTTCAATGCAAACTAACTGATAACATACAAACATATGATTATTCAGTCTTTTTTTTTGCAAGGATATCAATCTCTTTTAAATAGTTTATAGAAAAAAAAAATATTCTAATTGCATATAAAATTTAAAAACAAAATTAGTCTTAAAAAAAAAATAAAAAATATGTATAAAAATGATTGGAGTAAAGATTCTTTAATCAATAAAAAGAAAAAGAAAACCCATGATGATTCAGATCACGAATTCAATCTATTAAAGTTATGTCAAATCAGTTAATTAACATACTGGTACAATTTAAATTATTATTCTTCTGCTGATATGGATCCTGAAGTTCCACTATTAACCCACTTGTCTTTAATAGGACGCCCTCTATCCTACGATAACGTTATGCTAGTAAATCCTCGAATATTTCAGAACTAGTCGATACAATCAAGAACAAGAAGATTGAATTAATGATTTGAATGTATCAACTCTTTCCTTACGGATCATTGTTGATTAAGAGATTTAAATGAACATTGATCAATGTCGCTTCAATCGATTTTTCATCTGAGAAGGATGATATGATCACATATAGGTCAATAGAGTGAGTTCAGTAAATCTAAAAGCTATTCTGGATTATTTTCAAGTAAATCATTAAACAATAATCGAACTTCAGAACTTATATGAAAAGAAAATGTTAATTATTTCGCAAAATTTATTCAATGATTTATTTTATCATTATGTTCAGAAGAACTTTCATGATGAAAATCAAATCGTTTGTTTAAGTTCAAGAATGAGTTTAAAAATAATTTCTCGACATCGACTTGAAACTTTTTTTGTACGTATCCGATGATTTGATGGTTCCAGTTTCAATTTTTAGGAACACAAGATCACCATGTGTAGCCGACCAGCAATTGCAACTGAATACTCATAGGTTTCAGAAACAAACAATAATGAAAATCTCTATTAAGTGAATACTTTTGACAGATCTCAATGCTACTCACGTTAGAGAAGTTTTATTGTACACATAAGCATGTAACTGACGTGCAATATCAAAGTTTTAAAGTTGAAATTTGCTTCAAGTGACAACTCCGTGAAAGTACTATAAATCAATATTAAATTGATGCTACGAATCGCTACTTATTATTTCTGTCAATATTCGTTGCTTGATTGTTCATAAAATCTAATGATTTCATGAAGTGAATTTTCATTTATATCAACTATGTGAAATCTATTTATTTCATAATTTTATTTTAATCCTCTATAAATTTAATTAGCAATGAAAAGTTGACAAACATTCATTTTTGTAAAAACAAGTTTAGATTGAAAAATTATCATGACTGCTGTCTGAACAACAATCACAAGTGCAATTATTTCCAATAGACTTTCACGTAAAGAGTTACATAAACATCAAGCATTTTCAATATCCAATAGTATTTCCATCTTGATTAAAAAATTTGAAACAAAAGTAACTCTGATCAATGTTAAGTATGCTGATTGATTGCAGGAGATAAACAAGAAAATTATACAGAAGAACAAAAAAGTGTTTTTCTTAAGATGATGGATTCTGTTGTCGTCGTAATCGAGCTCGTTCTGCTGAATTATAAATTTGAATAGATGGACGATTCTTGGTTGAAGCATTGACATTCTATTAAAAAAAATGCAAATATTCATATTTAGAATTTTTTTAAAATTAAATTGAATATATACTTTTTGAGAAGAAGTCGATGATGCTTTATTTGATGAATTAGGTCGTTCATCATTTTGAGATTGTTGAGAGTTTTCATTAAAATTATTTGTTGTATCTGTTGATATCGTATCACGTTTTGTTTGACTCTCAACTTGTGATGATGCTGATGATTCGTCATTTTTTGATTTTGGATTTGTAACAGTTTTAGACTCTTTTGCACTTTGTTGCTGTTGCTTTGGCTTGGAATTTTGATGTTCACGATTTTTTGATGATTTATTACCACCATAATCATTTGCATTCGATCGTTTCTTTTAAATAATAAAGCAAAATATTAATGCATATATGAGCAACATTATTCGTTATCAACAATAAAATAAATGCATCTCAACATAAGAAATTTTCCTAGAGCTAATTTTTACATGTGAAGTTACTGTAAATACTCTGAAAAAAATCAGCGCTAGGGACCTCTACTCAGAGGAATTATCAGTAAAAAAACCTAACGTTGGTGATATGACACAAAAGAAGAGATCGACGTTCACTTGATGCATTTTACTTATTCAGAAAAATGAATCAAAGTCACATCAAAGGTGGCTTTGACTCATTTTGTTTGAAAAGATCCATGTATATAATAGTACTGAACAAATTCTTCATTCCAACCGATCTCAATCACCGTAGGTGCTAGAGGTCTGCAAACTTATGTACACACATTTTATCAAGAATGTTGATCATAGACACTGCAGCGCCGTTATTGCTTCATTATAAAGATAGTCATGATGAATGGCACCTATTGTTGTTGTCAGCCAGCTCCTCAATGTGTAATGCTATCTTTCAGCTATCTACATTACTAATATTATGGAAGTTTATTAATCCTTTCAAAGACTACGCTTATTTTACTATGATCTTTTTTATGGAGACAAACCATTTACTGTCATTTGAAAGTCAATAAGTCAGTGAGAGTTGAATGACATGAGTTGAAAATTTTTGAAAATCTTTCTTTACAGTTAGATATTATAATCTACAAGTATTAGAAACGAATCTTGTATTAAAAAGGATCAGAACATAGAATCCAGAAACTTTAGTATTCGAGCAGTAGAACTCATCTTCTGAATGAAGAAAGACCATCGACAGAATCTCAGTTGCAGGTAAACATATCAAAAATTAGTCATATTTATAGTAAGAAACAGCGCAAAAAATACATGCTGTCTATCATAATTTTCTTTGTAATTAACCAATAACGGTGCTGTAGTTCCCATGACCTACATTCTTAATCAAATACACGTACAAAAATTTTCAGATATTCAGTATATACAGTGACCGAGATCGACTGAAGCAAAGATTTTTGTTCACTACTATATCTATTATTTCATTACCTGTTCATGATTTCCTGTTCGATAATCAGATTTATCATAACCACGTTGTTGACGACTAAATAAGAAAGGTATTTTTTTTTTAGTTCGTATAATTTTCAAACAAAAATTTTACTTTGATCTATCTCCACCTCCATAACGTGGTAAAGCATTATAATCATCATCATTCATATTCTAAATCGAATGAAAATGTTAATTATAAAAAAAAAAAACGTAAAACAATAGTTTATACTCGTCCACTTGATGGTCTTGAATCATCGTGTACATTTGATGCATTATTTCTAGATAGTTGTTTGTTACTACGACGTTGTCCTTGTTGATTTCGAATCATTTTTTCCTTTATTAAATCACAATTGCATAATCAATAGCAAAAAGAGAGACAAATATCTTTCCTAACCTGTTTTCGTTCTTCGCGTCTTCGTTTTATGTATTCAAGTAAAGGTGTTGTAGTACTACCGGATTTATTCTTGCTATCTATTATTATGATACATGAATAATAATATTTATTGTTTTACATATAGGTTTTACCTTGAATATCACGTTGTTTCTTTTCAATTTCTTCAAGCATTGTTTCAGCATTTGGTAATGCTTCTGTAGCACTTGGAGGTGCATTCATGTTAGCTACAAATGTTTGATATTCAGGATCTAAATGAAAAAAATTAAGGAAGAAATTTTAGTTGAATTTTGTATATCAAAAGATTTAGAATTTCAAGCTATACAAAACACTTGACTTTGTTTTTCAAACAAATTCCACCTTATCGATAGCAAGTTTTAAGTATTTTCATTTACTCAGTCATTCAATAGTGATTTCCTTTTCTCTATCGATGCTTATTGGTTTTTGTAGAATCATGTCTTGTCAAAGCCGATGCCAAAAGTAAATTACTTAAAACCAATAGATAGGAAATTTTGTACTGTATATCTTAACGATCTTCTCAAGATTCTCGAAATTAGTGTTTACAAGATAAAGACTTGAGACTGACAACTGTTGGTAAATTTGAGAGGCGTTTGGAAAATCATATTTTCCAAAGTCATACTTACTTTATGAAAGACTTATTATTATGCTATCGGATATAGAATTTTTTCAATTCTGAACAAAACGATATAAATATTAAAAAGAAACTTGAAAATATACAAATTGCACAGGGGATTTGCATAGAAATATTACCTTCTTATGCTCGAAAATAAGATTGATGAAAAAAAGACCATTTGTATTTGGAAAACTCCCTAAGAATGTGACACCAATCGGTGCAGATTTTCACATTGATTCCAAATGAGGGTGACGGATAACATTGCTGAGAACGTCTATCCGGGAAAAACTTAGTGTAGAAATCATAAATGTGCTTTTCAGAACAAAAGTATTTCTTATACATCGACAGAGCTGAAGTTTTGGTTTCAAATTACATATGATTTATTGTTCAACGTTTGTGATTTTTCACAAAAAAGATGATGCTTCTGTCTAAAAGTGATGAATTTACGACTAAAGTTTCCCCAATTCATTTAGAAAACTGAGATAATTTTTTTAAATCGAAACATTGGTCGTTAATTAAAATATATAAGTTACTCTTCAAATCTCGAAAAAGCTCATTTTTATTTTTTCATCTAATATTTAGTGCTTTCACATTTTTTCATTTTAAAACCATTTCTTTCAAATATTTCTTCTAAAGTTCTGAAATATGCGCTCAGAGATGCAAAGTTTTAAAGGAAATCTAGTGCGATGATTGAATGTTTCGACCTTTATGAAAAAATTCACATCAGTTTTTCGTTTTCTTGACCGTCGCAGTTGAATGACTAACGAAGGAACTATTTCAAACAACTAACACTCAATGTTTGAGCTTATATTAAATTCACAGGTAAGTCGTAATGAAAATAGCAAAAGTCTAGAGGGTTTCGTTCGCATTGGCCTATGATGTCGAGTGCTTACCGTTTTATCGGATTTTTCACATACTTCTAAGTACTTCTCGGAAGATCAAACGACGTAGTTTTGATGTAAAACTTTACCTTTAGATAGGTCTGATATCTTTTAGAATATTCTGAAAGTTTCAGGCGAAAAGAATATTTATCTGTTGAGTTTTTAAATGAACTTGTTTTTGGTGGAATAGGAAAACTCTTTCCGACTGAAACTTTCAAGATATTCTAAGAGATATTAGATCTATCTTTTAGATCAAAATTTCTTTATCCGATCTTCGAGCAGTAACTAAAATTAGTACAATATTCAGTAAACTGATCATAATTGGACGATAAAGATCCATGAAGACAAAGGTTTTAGGCTTTTATTAGTCTCCTTAAGATCTACTTGCAAGTTTAATATGAGCTCAACCAACGGATGCTAGTTATCTTGTCAATATCTGCTCTTCTTTTGCATTTTCCATCAATAAAAGAAAGTTACATGAAAAAAAAAATCAACAACTTTGTAGAGCTTGAAAAACATCCATTATATTTACCTTGTTCAATTGAATTAACTTTAAGATCTTTACGTGATTGTTGGTCTGATTTAGATCGACTTTGATTAGGTGCATATTCAACTGAACAAATATATTCATTTCCTAGTGTTAAATAAAAATCAATAATGAAAATGATTAAATGAAAATAAAATTACCATTTTTATCAAGAAAAACATAACCTTGAAATTTTTCTGTAAATACAATTAAATCTTGTTGATTAGGAATATTAAGATAAGCACGAGAAAAAGCATATTGTTGACCCAAACTAGAAGAAATAGATATTAAAATAAAGATATTATAAAAAAATAAAATACCTTATATCAGCTTTACAAAAACGATAATAATCATGATCGGGAAGAGGAGAAACTATTTCAAGAAATTGTTCACTTGTTAGTGTAGGAGGTAACCGACGAAGAACAATCTTTATGAAATAACAAAAATAATTTATAAAAAAAAAGAAAAATATGAAATTGAACTTTAGTCTGATTTTGATCATTGAAAGATTTGTTATTCACAGACGACTGTTGTTTCGTTCTGGGACTACCCCGTTCAACCATGATGAACTTTGAATATTTAACAAAGAATAAGGAATTTCTGAAAAACAAAACATTGAAATAAAAAGAACTTAATTTTTGCATTAGCTGTATAAAAATTTAAAGAATTATGCATTAGATTTAATTTTCTTCGTATTTTTCATTTTACATGCCATTTTCAACTTCAGATAATGCTATATAAAAAATTACCAAACGAATAGATCATAGCGTTGCTGCATGTTGGATAGTATAGGAATGGCGTAATAGAATGCACTAACCGTAGTAAGCATTTGTAGAGGTCGCAATATAGTTACTCGTCTCTGTAGTGAGAACGAAATGAAATGCCATGTTCGAAAAATTGATATTTCATTTTTTTTTATTACATTGATGTCCAAAAAATTGATAGGCATTAAATAATGAACAACATTGCATCATAGTTTTTAAATATGGAGTTTTGCTCTAGATCGAAGAGAAGCTGTGGAAGGCTCTCAAGATTGTGGATAAAATGTATAAGAAAATGTCTTAAAAAGGTAGGGGCAAAATCTTCGTAGGTTTATCCGACAATAATAAATAAATTTCAATTATTGAAGAAATATACACACTCGCTTTCGCAGTCTTCGAGGTTGATCGAGAAAAGCGAAAAATTCATAATAAAAGAATGAAAGCTTCAACTCAGACGAATAAGCTAAGCCAATACAAAAAAAGACGAATGACGCCATAACCAAACTTCTAATATCTATAAAAGATTATATGTTTTTCCGATACATGCAACATATCAACTAGAGTTGTTTTTCAAAATTAAAATTTATAGATCCACAGGTTCTCATGAGATTAAATCAAAATTAAATCTGATAGAAAAATAATATTTTGAAAGTGTAGTGGTGAATGCTCTGAGAGAAGTTCAAAAAGGCTTATACGAACACCGACATTCATTTTTCATACAGCTGAAAAATTTTGTTCGTTTATTGTAAGCTTCTCGACTATTCTTCACATCGACCAATTTTTTGTAGACTCAAATCGACAACACCCTATATAAAAATTGGTATAAATAACACAATAGATTAAAGTATGTTAGTACTGCGATATCGCTGATCTGTATAAATACTGAATATTAATCGGATATAGAATAATTTGTGGATGTGAAACCACATGTTTGATTATTATTTAGAGTATTTCATTTTACAATGTCTGTCATTTGAAGTAGAATCTGTCACTTTTTTTTTTGTCGAGTTTCTTCTGTATTTTATTTCTTAGTGCATTGTATATGATTGAATCAAGAGTTTGTTTTCAACTCATGAATTGAGTTATTTTCTCGTCAATAAAATACAAGAAGAAGAGGTTATATCGTCACTTGATGATATTAAGTTCTTATCAGAAGTGAAAATATATGGACATGTAAAAACCATTCATTTTTACAAGTCTTCTATCATATATAAAAAAAAAATACTCAATTGCTTCGAATGATTCTCATCTACATTAGTAAGTTTCTAAAAAGAATATTACATATGCATAAATTTTTCAGTCGTACTTTATTTCTATTCAAGTTTACAGTTTATATTATTCTTCTCTATCAATCGATGCAATTCATTTAAGTTCTTGTGCAAAATGGAATACAACAGGAATTACAGTGATTGGTACTAATTCACCTGGTAATGCGTCTAATCAACTTAATCTACCACAAGGAATGTTTCTTCATAGAGAAACCAACACATTATATGTAGCTGATACAAATAATAGACGTATTCAAATGTTTACGCTTAATTCAAGATCAAGTACGGGTGTTACTGTAGCATCGAACATAGATTCTATGTCTGGTATTTATGTTGATGATGATGGATCAACTATGTATGTAGCACTTCGATATGAAAATCGTGTTGAAAAATGGATAAAAAATGCTTTAAATGGTGAACAAATAGGTGATCAATGTAAACAATGTACAGGTGTATGGGTTGACAAGGAAAAAAATGTTTACATGACAGAATCAGGAACACATTCAATACTGAAATGGTCACCAACAACAAATACTAAAATAACTGTTGCTGGGCAAACAGATGAATTGGGACAAACTGCTGATAAACTTTATTTTCCTAGAAGTATTTATATTAATCGTTTAAATGATGCATTGTATGTGGCTGATATGATGAATAATCGTATCCAAAAATGGAACAAAAATTCACAAGAAGGTATTACAATTGCTGGTTCAAAAGACGGTATTTCAGGTTATAATGATTCGAAATTGGCAAGTCCATTTCATGTTTGGATCGATGAAGAATCCGACGTAGTCTATATTGCCGATAGCGAAAACAATCGTATTCAACGCTGGTTACCAAATGAATTGACTGGTACTACGATTGCCGGTGGTGCAGGTAATCTCATTTTTAGAGGGAACGCTGTTCTTTAGTTTTACTGATAACAAATAGCATATAATCATGTTATTAACTGAAAACTATTAACTCAACGAGTTAGTTCTTACTGTCAGCTAGTTTTCAACCATAAGTCTTATCGTTTTTTTTTCGTTTAATCACCTCTTTAGTCCAATTCCTTCTATTCAATAATAAAATGAATTGCGAAATTTATAGAATATTTTCAAAAAAAAAAACAAGAAAGATATTTTTCTCTATATCATATTATAAACATATAATATTTTAATTATAGAACGAGGCAATGCAAATAATCAATTATCATTACCAAATTCTTTAGCATTCGATAATCTTGGTAATCTTTACGTTTGTGATGGACACAACCATCGTATTCAAATGTTTGTATTAATTGAAAATCAAACATGTCCAACAAGTCGTTCTCATCCTCTATTTACAAAGTAAAAAAAAGAAAAACCAACAATTCTTGTTTCTTATTCACATCATAAATTTAACATTCTAGAACAACAATAATTACCATAAATAGTCTTATGTTTTTATCATGGATTATTCTAATTAATTTCATATTAAACTAATGATCAATGAGAGACGTCGAATTAATCATCTTTTTATGAACTATATAATCCTTTAGTTTACATACCTTATTAAGTGCATGTATGTTTTACTTTTTCAATATAACAAATAATAATAAAAAACAACAAGAAGAACAGACACATACAGACAAAAAATTCAACTTTATTTTTTTTAATCTTATTCTAGTGTTTTTTTTTGAGAAAATGATAACAAGATAAAATAAAAACAACACTACATAAATAATGTAATAAGAGAAAAGATGTAGTACAATAGAAAAATGATTGATTAAAAATCATCAAAGTGTTCGACCAGAATAAATATTGTCTTCTTTTTGTCTTAATCTAATCAACACAAACAATAATCTATGTAAAATTATTCTTGAAATACAAACGTTCTAACTAAGTGCAAAGGATATATTTATATATAATAAAGATCACATACACTTAAATCTTTTATTTCTCGTTCATTAAAGACACACACAATACTCATCCTCAGCTAGAATGAACAAATGAAATAAGAATTATTCAAATAGTAAAAAGAAAAAAAAACCAAGCAGCAAATAGTTAAATAACCAAAACAAAAAAAAAAATTCAGATTGTATTATATTTTTATTTACTTAGAAAAGTTAGCGGATTTCATGTTTTCACTGAGATATATTGTAGATTTTGTCTATTCATTAAAATTCTATTGCAAAAAATTTACAAATCATTTTTGTTTTTCTTGCCATTAAATAATTATTTATCATCAGACTTTTGTTTTTCATTTAATTTTTTCACAGGTATAATTCGTTTTATTTGAACAATATATTGTTCATCTTGTTCACGTTCAGGCCATTCACCAATATCATCAATTGAAAATGTTTGTTGTTTATTTAATGCTTGTTTCCACCAATTATCATTAGATGTATAAAGATTTTCATTTGTTGGTAATAATTGACAAATTTCAATTGGTTCAGGATCTTCAATTGATGATGTTAAATCATTTATTAATGGTGTTGTTGTTTCAATATGTAATTCATTGTTATTTATTGATGATGAAGTATTGCTATTTGATAGTTGTTTGGATACAACATTATAATTATTTGATAATGGTTGATTGTTAGTATTAGATGTTTCATTTTTACCCTTATTTCGATTACGATGATTAACCTAATACAAAAAAAAAAAACTTAGTAAGAATCTAATAAGATTATGAACAGTATGATAGAACTCATGCTCTTCGTTAATCAGACTTTCGCCTACTCGAATTTTTCATATAATAATTTCAATATCTGATGTTTCTATCATTTTTTAATTGTTGAAATCTATTAGTATGATTTCATCAATAGTTTTCATGTATTGATAAAGAAATGCTTAATAAAATTATGAATATTCGATGTAGATGTAAATATTTGATTGATGATTCAATTTAATTTTTATACACAAACCTGTTTACTGCCTTGTATAAGCCATTGTCCTTCATCTTCTTGATCACTACCAACTTCAACATCAATAGTCAAGTTTCGTTTAGACTCCGCATTAATAGGTACAGATTCGTTTTTCTTTGAATTAGCAGTATTGACCTTGGTATTGCCATCGCCTATGAGAAAAAAGCTGTTAGCGCATTCATTGCAGGATTAAAGTATTACACACAATGTAGTTGATGATGTTAATCACAAGAAGATTAGTTTATTCTATAATAAATTTCTTCCCTATACTCTTACTTAATCCTTTAGAAATGCAATAAGAAAGTAGTACATATATTAGAACGATATGTTATTGTCATACAGTCTATGATCATATGTCAACAATAGCTATAACGAAGAGGAAGGTGTATTACTAAGGAACGCACGTCTTCAACAGCTCCTGTCTAGTTTCAATCATTTTTGTGCCTATAGAAACTACATCTCGTGTTCTGATAAAAACTCTTAAAAGATTTGAGTTTCTATGATGATTTGACTAAGCTATTGAATTTTGATCCAAAACTTATGTGCATAGAGAACTGAACTAGAGTAGTTTCTATAAAGAAAGATTCGCGAGTTCTGAAAAAAGTCTCTTCAAGATATAAAGCATTCCTAAAAATCCATATTATATACACTATTCATAGAGAAGGTTTATTTGTTGAAAGTCTCGTATTTCGAAGAGATTGTGTTCAAAACTTATAAATTTTTTATGGAAGCTACTCCTTCTTTAGAGAATTCTAACTAGCGAACCACATGTTTCATTGCATGAAATAATACTAACACTCAAATAGATTTTAAGCGTAAGTGAAGAAATAATAAAAAAAAGAAAAAATTAATAGCGTCATGTTTTTCATTTTACAACAGTAACTAATAAATCATCTAATTCTTCTATAGCAAATATAATCGCATCATAAAATCGTTCACTAAGATTGCCCATACGAAGTTGAATTATAAAGAAATAACTGGCGATTATAGATCACTCAAATCTAGTGAAGATAGAGCAGTTGCAGACATGACCATAGAATTTTAGTTGTATTATAATTCTTTTAGTCAATCTATATCAGATGTTACTCATAATCACTAGTACTCATTTACAAATCTATTGATATTTTTCTCTTTCGACATTTTCTCAGCACATCCCTACAGGATAGCCAAATAAAATCTCAATAGAAATTCAAATTCTTTCAAAGTTTTTATTGGAATACTATGCAGTACTGATAGACAAAAAAGTCATTGAAATCATAAAGAAGCAGCTACAGAAGTTTCCTTGTAATTCGCTAGTAACGATCTGTGGGTTCAAATTTTCACCTGTGTACTTTAATACTAATTTTAGATCATGTTTCTCAAAAAAGTAATTATTTAGTTTATTAATTCATAACATACGCTTTCCTGATGGTTTCTTTTTGTTAGATGCAACTATAGTATTAGCCGATGTAGGTGCTGCATTAGTTTTCAATTGTTTCTTGTTATTATCTTCATTTTGTCCTTCAGTTGAGTTTTGAACATTTTCAGCACGTACAGATGTTTGATGTTTTTTAGTTGATGATGTTTTAATTGCATTTGTTAAAGGACTAGTCTGATTATTTTCATCGGTAACAACTACTTTTTTACTTGCTGATGTGGACTAAATAAATGATATCAAACATTTTTCAAAATTTAAATCTTTTAAATAATTAAAATACTTTTTTTGATGATACAACAAATGTTGATTTTTCATTTTCACTTTCTTCAGATTGTGTATTTTGTGATGATGTTGATGAAACTGGAAGTACATTTTTGTTAACTTTATTATTCTTTTTCTTATTAGTAGATGTTATATCAACTTGTTGTTTTTTTATTGTATTAGTTTCTTTTGATTTTTTATCTTTATTTGAATGTTGTTTTGAAGTAGATGTTTTTGATTTTGATGATGAAAAGATGATTCGACAAGCGACGGTATATATTAATAATAAAACCAAAATAGCTATGGAAACAATAGCCAGCATAGACATAGATACACTGCTGGTTAATTGTTCAAGTAATGATGCTGATGACATTTTAAAAGTTAAAAATATATTTAAGATTTTTTAATTATTCTTTTTATAGAATATAACAAAGAGAAAAGAATATGAAAAGATTTTTGAGATCATCATCATATTTAAATTCGAACATGATTGGATAGTCAATGGATTAAAATGGTTGTCGTCATCATCATTTTATATTGAATTTAAATAAAAAATTGTTTTTATTATTCATTAAAAACATATAAGAAAATCTAATTTAGTCATTTGATACTTCATGAGATAGTTTTTATATAGATGGCGTTATAAATTACACATATAATAAATTTAAGATTAGAATATTTTTGTTTTTAATTTTAATTTTAATTCAAAAAAAATAAATCTTCCATGAAATAGAAAAAAATTCATAAATTTAAAAATATTAATTTATAAGTCATGTCTTCATTGGTTATGTTGAAGTTTGAAATAATTCCGATCAAATTAGAAATTCTCAAAAGTTTGATTAATTAAATATTATTTTATAAATGCGAGCTTTATATCGTATACCATTATTAGCTATTTCAACATTAATACTAAGTAAGAATATGAAATTTCATTTTTTATTTTAATAATGTTTCTTTTTTTTTGCTCTTTTAGTTAAATGTTTAAAAAAGTTAGAAAAATTAAATGATTATGCTCGATCACCACCACCTGTACAAATCACTGAACAACCTGCTTCACGACCTCCTTCTTTTGTTAAAAGTGCGATACATAAACATGATAATCGATAGTAATATATATATAATTAGTCAAAATGCCTATTATCCTTGTTATTAAGACATAATACAAGATCATGAATGATATTTGATTATGTTCAAACAAAAAAAAAAATATCATTGAAAATCTTTAGAAGTTTTTTTTTTTATTCTTATAGATATTAGAAAAAATAATGTTTGAATGAATGCCTTGGTCGACCATTATTTTACTTTTCTTGGCTATTTTATGGCCTTCTCTTCTAGGTAAATATTGAATATAGAATGTGTCTTTTTCTTTTTTTTAATTTAATTAATAATTTTAGTCAATGCTGATGATTATCTTTCATCATTCGGTATCAAATCATATAAAATTATTCGTGCAATACATGATGAAACAACTACTCATCGACAAAAGCGATCTATTATTGAAAATAATTCATATCGTATTCTTACTCTTGAACTTGATCATAAGTATATATATGAAAATTAATTTAGATATATTCTATTTATTTTTATATAGAAATATTACATTGATTTTGAAAAATACAAATGAATTCTTTTCGACAAATGCAGATATTCATCTTGGTTCGTCAACTTTTCTTCCAATTAATTCTTCCATTTTATATGAAGGTTATATCTTAGGTAAAGAATTCTTTTCTAATATTTAGAAGTTTTTGAGAATATTAATAATAAATTAGTTAACAGTTAAAATAGACATGAAGATGATAGAATTTATTCTTTTGGAATAGAATTTACTTTAGATTTACTTGAAACATATGATTACAATATCGAAATATCAATCTTAAGGTGTGTTCACATAGAAAAAAAATACCCTCCATTAGCTTTGTTTGAAACCATCCATGACTAAGTCTATTGCAGAGTTATAAACTCATTTTTGATACTAATGAGAGAATTATCTCAACTGACTAATCGCTGTTAAGTTGAGACTATGTGTATTGCGTAGACTCTAGTGAGCTATAAATACTTTGAAGACTTCGTATCCTTAGCTTATTGCTATGGATATATTGAAATTTTATGGTATTTTTAAAAACGAATGTTGTGAATTTTCTCAGCAACATCAGAAAAGTTGATTTTCAAATATTGACTTGAAAATGTATACATAGAAACATGCCTTGATAAGTTCCAAGATAGAACCATAGTAAAAGCTTGTCTTTCACATCAGAGAATCGATTTTCTTATTTCAAAAAAAAAAAAGAAACAGATCAAAGGAACTGATACTTCCGCGATTAACAATTCTGTTCAAGGCTTGCTTCAGTTTCAAATGAAAACTCAAAAATCAATTTTCTTAGTTTTTTTTCTGATGAAGAACTCCAACATTGTATTGAAAAATGTACTAAAGATACAATATGTTGGGTTCACTACAGTATGAATTTTCAATGTATGACATGTTGTAGATTTCATCACAATCGTTCAAGCACTCCGAAATCAACTTTTCAGTCATTTAGATTTCTTTTTAGAGAAGTCCATCGTAGGCTTGAAGCTGCGGTAAGAAAAACGAAAAGCTATTAGTCTCAGAGTGTTATATTTGTGGATGTTCAGGATTTGTTCAATATATAGAGTTTTAATTTATATAATTATCTCTAATTTGATATTGATTCTACTAGATCATCCTGAAACTTCATATGTTACTGGTGGATTTTATTCAAATTGGTTTGATGGTATAATACAACAATTGAATGAAACATGGCATATTGAACCGACTCGTAAATTTGGTGTTTCTTTAATTGATTTCGGTCCATCAATAATTTATAATGCACTTGATGTTGATATGACAAAATATAACAGTAATGAAGCATTTCGATATAAACGATATGTAATGAATGAAGATGAAGAACTATCATCATCATCTTTTTGTGGATTAAATGACCATAAAATACGAGAAGAAATGCAAAAAGAAACGGAACGATTAAAAAAAACTGAATATAATAATTTCGATTATAAATCTCATTATACACGAACAAAACGACAAACAATAACTAATACAGATCGCGAGCGTACATGTTGTTATATTTATATACGTATTGATCCAACACTTTGGGATATTGTTTATAAAAATGAAGGACTTAATGTAAGAAAAATATTTTTTTTTATTGTTGATACTTTCATTGATAATTTAATTAATATTATATAGGAAAAAGAAGCAACTATTCATGCACTTGTAACATTTTTATATCGAATAGTAACAGCAGCAAATACAATATATCGTTCAGTAAAATTTGAATCCAATGGTGATTTTCTTTATCGATTTACATTACAAATAAAAAGAATTCGAGTATAATTTTTTGATTATTTTAAATTTATTTATATAAATAAATTATTTAGATTTTAACATCTGATGATTGTAGACAAAAAAATTTAAGTTTAAGTGAAACAAATATTTGTCGACCATATATTGATTCAAATATTTTATTAACATGGCATTCAGCTGAAAATTTCGATGAATATTGTTTAGCATATATATTTACTGCAAGAGATTTTGGTGATGGAACATTAGGTTTAGCATGGATGGGAAGCATTGCATCAAGTATGTCGTGATAAAATTAAAAAAAAGAAACAAGATTGCCAGTGCAATCCTTATGAGACTAAAATGTGAAATATGATGTAGCTGCCTTTGTTAATCACAAATGAATTGTTTTCTTCTATCTATTTGTAATTAAGCAATAACGGTGTCACAATGTCTATGACCTACATTCTTGATGAAGTACGTGTACATAAATTTTCAAACATATAGAGATCAAGACCGACTGGAAGGGAGACTTTTGTCCACTACTGCACTTCAACAAACTTTTTTAGATTATGTATCACAAAAAGTTTGAAATAATCAATTTTATATTTAGATAGTCGTGGTGGTATTTGTGAAAAATCTGTAAAAGATATTTATGAAGGACAACGTGTTATAAAAACTCTCAATACAGGAATGATAACTGTTATTAATCATAATACACGAACATCAGCATTAATGACAGAATTAACATTTTCTCATGAAGTTGGACATAGTTTAGGAGCTGAGGTTAGTCAATGAATTTATTATTTATTTTTTTGTATTGGTTAACCTTTGAATTTTATTTTTTAGCATGATGATGAAAAATGTGAAGGTGATGCAAAATATGGTCATTATATAATGTATCGAAGAGCAACAACTGGTCTTGAAGAAAATAACAATAAATTTTCTAATTGTAGCATGAATAAAATGGGATCTGTTATGATTTCTGTTAAAAATCAACTTCTTGGAAAAATTAATTGTTTAACAGGTTTAGTAAATATTTTAAAAAAATACAATAACAATAATAAAATCTACGTTTTTTTTTTGTAGAAGGTTCAAAAATTGGTTATTGTGGAAATCGAAATATTGAAGATGATGAAGAATGTGATTGTGGATTTACTTCTGAATGTACAGATCATTGTTGTTATCCAGCTGATGTATCAAATTCAAAACTAAGTTGTAAATTAAAACCAAATGCTCGTTGCAGGTATATTTTATATTAGTTTCTATAAGAAATTTAAGTTTTCCTTCTTTTTTTTTTAAATTTAGTCCATCCAAAGGACCATGTTGTTCCGATCAATGTACATTTCATTCTACTTCACATATATGTCATAAAGATAAAGCTAGTCAAGATTGTATTGGAGATGTTCGATGCGAGTAAGTTATTTGCTAAATAGAAGAATATTAGGAATATAAATTATGATATGAATTAAAATGCCTCTCATTGAATGCAGAACAATTCTAATTTCCGTTTACAATTAGAACACCATACACTAGGCAGCCTATAGTCTGCCTAAGCGAATTTTTCTAGGACTCAGTCTCACAAGCATAAGCACAACACGTGTAGAACGGAGAAAAAATGATGTTATGATAAACAATTATGGAACACAGGAAAAGAAGATGAAGTTTGAGTAAGAAAAACTGATTCTGTATTTTATACTACGCCAGACATTTTCTCCACAAATCATTCGTGAAATAAAACTGCAATAAATCTTAACTAATTCGAGTGATTCACATGAGCTCTTCATCATTTCATAGAATAATTATATGTTTCGAAATATATGATTTCATACCTTAGTATTAATGCTGATCATTTGAAATTATAGTTATACGTGAACTCATATGAAATAAAACTTTCGAGAATATCCTATCAAGCGAGGAAAGGCTTATGAAAATAGTTGAAGAATTATTCCAATTTTATTTCACGATTGGTTTTTAAAATACCCTATATATATAGTTTCAATTTCCTTGCTATCGAATCCTGCAGTTATATATTATTTTATTGATGATGAATAATTATTTGCTGTTTCTAGTGGTATTCAAGCAACATGTCCAATTAATGATACACAATTTTTTAAGCCAATCGATACACCATGTAATCTAAATACAGCATTATGTGATCGAGGGGTTTGTATACAAACGCAAAAACAAAAAGATCAATTTTATTTTAAATCGAATATTGTTTCTATCAGGAATGTAATAAAAGTATATGTACATTAATTGGAAAAACTGAATGTACATTGACTATACCAAATGTTGTTGAACCATTACGTCAACGAGGTATTGATCGAGAATATTTATGTCATATTGGTTGTTTTGATAGTAAGTGATTAATAATATTTTTACAAAGATGAAAATTTTCGTTTTTGTTTTTACAGCACGAACAAATTCATGCATTGATACACATGTTCTTCTTATGCCAAACAATTATAGTAAAACTGGATATGGTTATAAACATCGACCTGGTTAGTTTAATTTATTATTTGCATTTTATTTATGTATATATATATATTTAAAGGACATGCTTGTGCTGGAACATCTGGATATTGTGATGTATTTGGTAAATGTCGTGCTGTTGATGCTGAAGGTCCATTAACACGATTGAAAAATATGTTACTTAATGAAGAAAATATTCGTACACTGAAGGAAATTGTTCAAGTATGTTCAATTTACGTTGAATTATTAAAAATAAATGGCTTCTTATTTTAGGAATATTGGTGGGCATTAGTATTAGGTCTATTAGGTCTCATGGGTTTTATGAGTATATTTGTAAAAATTTGTTCAGTTCATACACCCTCATCAAATCCACTTTTCAAACCTGCACGTTCTCTTTCATTTAAACATGGAGTATGTCTTTTTATTAATCTTAGCTGATATCAAAATTTATTATTTCTATGATTGCAGTCATATAATCCTCGACATCATGGTCTTGAAATTCCTCGTCCACCTACATCACCATTAACATTAACTGGAATTGAACTTAATCCATTAGAACAAAGATCGAAAGTAGCTGGACGTGGAAAATCTTCGTCAAAAAATAAAGACAATATTTCTTGTCTTTAATTTGTTGATTTTCCATATCAGAACAGTACTTATTCTCATTAAGAACATTCCATTGAATTAACCATCAGAGTCAAAATTTATGTCTTGTTTCTGTATGGCATTGATCAGATTTTGTTTTTGTCTCACTTTCAGAATAATACTTCTCATTTGTTTTTTTTATATAGTCATTTGGTGTGGCATTTATTGTTTCTTTTGTGCATATATTTTTTATGTAGACAGTCACTCACTTTTCAAGTGATATTTCTTATGTAGATATTCTTTTTTTTGTTTGGTGTACTTGTGTACAGATGAGATTATTAATATATTAAATTCGCACTGAAGAATAATTTCTGAAAAATATATACTGTCGTGAATGAATGAAAAGCAAAACATAAATGTGTAGTACCTTTTTGACTGTTTAAAAGAAAAAACTATTTTATTTTAACGGGAATTGATCATGCCAGCAACGATGAAGCTTGTTTTTCTTGGAATTACGATGATTAGAACATTTGGATTTTATTTAGTGACATAAGAAACGTATGCGATGGTACCACGTTAAGGCTTAAATATCGAGTTCAGATGTCTTCTCTAACTATATTACATTAATGTAAAATGTGTTCAGTAAAAACTCTCAAGCACATAATTCGTTTCTTTCCAAGAATAATCGACCATTAGAAAAAATAAAGTCTGTAGTTCATACCTATTATATCTACAACGGACTATTATGAATCTCGATAATCTTAGAAGCATTGATATTGATTATTTCTGAATGTTACAATTTGATAAGTTCATACTTGTCGCGTAAAATGTATGACGACTGTATCAAATCCAAATGTCACTAGCCATTATGTTTGATATCTATCATATAATCACCTATCTGCAAACAAATTAGAAGCTACACTGTTCACAACAGGCAATATCAAGGACATTACCACTCAGTCATCCTGTTTTGTATGAGAATCTTTTTCATTGCACTTTCGACAAGGACAAAAACTTGTCTTATATAAGGTATAATGTCAAATGGCATAAAGGTACTATCTACACAAAAATATTTACAAAATAATCATAGTAATAACTCTTATCACATGTTTTCCAGTCGGCATGAAACGAACAAAAATAAAGTATTCAACGTTCACAGAGTGAACAAAATAACAACAAAAAAACATTAGATAGAGGATGTAAAAGGGTGTTGGGTGTGAGTGTTCGCTTTACTAGTACTCACACTGACACTCACCCTTACCCAAGGAATCAAACCACGCATCTTTTGCTTTTCAGGCAGCTTTGTTAGAAATGGTATCTTCTCTCCCTTACAAATGGATGGGTTGAATATGGTCATTGAATGATTCAATGAGATTTTATTTACTTAGATCGAGATCGTTTACAAAGATTAGAAGAAAAATCCAATGTCGATAGTATTCCGTTTTTGATTGTTCGTTCTCCGACACGTGAGATAATTACTTCGGATGGTGTTGAAGAAATAAGTATTTTACCTAACGAAGATTTACTTTGATAGGCACAAGGAAAACGTTTATTTTAGTCTTGTGAACCACATGAAGATGAATATGTTGAGGAAGGCATTACTTGCACTGAACGTTTGATCAGTCCATTAATTGATTCACGTTATGGTTGCACATATCAAGAATGTCGAGTTAATTTATTTGAAACATGTTTACCAAATAAAAATCATGAACATCATCGTGTTGAGCATCTTATACCTAAAACAAAAACAATTTATTAGAACAACTCTTTAAATCAATTCCTTATTTACTCACTTTAAATAATAAACAAAAAATTGAAAACAAAAATAATTCTGAAAGATGATGTAAAAAGTGTTGGTTTTTATTTCTTCACTCATTGGTGTCTACCTTTTTATGCTTTCACACTGGCATTCATCGAAGTTTATAAAGAGGCACAAACAAATTCTCATGGTTTTCGTCTAGATTTAAGTTAAGATCCATTAGTGAAGGTCTACATAAGTATTCAAATTTAACAATAAATTGAAATCCAAATATTTAGCCCTAAGTTCAAATGTATGGGACTCAATTTAGATTCTCGATAGTCTCTCAAAATGAAAGTAGTAAAATCATGGTTTTTATAACTTTAATTGATTCGAATAACAGTTGATTGTACACTGTCGAAAAGATTCAAAAATGATATTCATTGTCAAAAATATCGAATAAAGCCTTACAAATGTATAATGGAAAATATGATGTTATAACAATATAATTTTTTTCAAAAAAAATTTATTTGCAACAAATTAGTACGTACAGATATAAACGATGCTGTAGTTGAGGTGGAAAACCACTGAAACTAGGAACAAAATTTCTTTTTCTTTTTCATATTTCAAGAGTTCAGAAAATTTCAACCGATTAAGGAGATCTAAACAGACTTCTAAAGCTACTTGACTCTCTTTGATTTCAATAAACTTAACAGTTCACATTTTTATCTGAAACCATCATCATTATAAAAATACTCTTTAAGTTAACAAAACAGTTTTGTTCTTGATTATTTCTTAAACTATAACGATCTTTACTATAACATTAGTTGCTGGTATGACATCTACACTTCTACCTACTATCAATAGTAGTGGACAATCATGGCGACTTCCACTAAACGACCAGAACTTCATTGTATCATGATGAATGAGGTAACTTGGGTGTTTTGCAGAACATGCATCTTGTGACGTTTTCTCTTTCAGAATAGTCAAAAATATATTCCAACCATTAAGATGTCATAGAAAACTTTAGAGTATTCTCTAACTGCTTATAAGTCTCTGTAAATTCCGTTGGGTGTCTTTTTTCCATTGCTACTGACCTCTAGAAAAAGAGTCTGATACTCATAGTCCTTGATTGTAATGAAAACGTATACACTTTCTTTTGACTACAATAGTTTATTTCCATTGCGAGCATATTTGTTAAAATAGATATGTTTGTTAGAGACATTAAAACCATTGATTTATACTCTTATCGTCACGATTTAATTCGGATTGCTATCGAGGAAATGCTAGAAAACCCTAGTTTATAATTTACATTCACTGTGTTCCTTCATCAAATATATGAGTTTCACAAAAGTGAATAAAAAGCATTTTTCTTCAATATTCTTGTTGATATGAAACATTTAATATTCGATAATTATAATAGCCGAGTGCATTTTTATATGCTAGTTGAAATCTTTTATAGTGAAAAAAAGAATAATATGCTTTCTTTTTGTTCATAAAAATATCCGTTTTGAAAGTTTGTTCTGTTTCACCTTAGAATAACAAATAAAATACGAACATAAAAGAGACACAAAGAAATATCCCGCTAAAAACAGTGATATATTTTTTTCAATAAACGAGCTTATGTATGAATGAATGTATACAGAAGAAAGAAAAAGATTATCTTTAAGAAAGAAAAATGTATCGCAACAATATTTGTGCTTTTCTGAACGAAAAAAATTAAGGAACAGAAAATAATTAAAATGCCGTTAGATAAACAGAAGAGATGATAGTATAAAAAACAAGAATAACCACAAAAATAAAAGTTGTCATCATTGTACCAAAATAAATTTTAATTAAGACTGTTTTATTCAAGTTTATGTGTCTTTGGAGTTTGTTGAATCAATACCGCTAGTGTCACTATCTACAAATAAATAGAAATAAATAAATATATGAAATATGATAATAGTAGAAATAAAAATATCCATATTCCCAAAAAAATAATAATCGAGGGAAGGGGAAAGAAAAACAAATATCCAACACCATGAATTCATCACCATTATGTAATGTGTAGAGAATACCTTCTATTCTGGACTTTTCTAATATCGATAAAGTTTTTGAAATATCACTTGGATCATTTGCTACTTGTTGTTGTTCAACACTATTTTTATTTAGAAGATCAGTATGATGGTATTCTTCGCGCACAGTGCTCGTCGGAGCACTATTATGATGATATTCATTAGTTTCCAATATTTCATTTTCATCGTCATATTCATTTGAAAAATAAAGCCCATCAAGATCATGATCATTGGGAGAAAAAGTAAGGGTATTGGGACGAACAATGGCTGATGAACTTTGACTGCGTGTAATGCTTGATCGATGAACGTCAGATAATAGAAGATTAGGAGACAGATCTGATTGAATATGATGATCAAAAGGTGAAGGTTGCATTGACGAAACAGATTCGATTTTCTCTGTAGGTTTCGAGGCGATTGGAAGTTCTGAGTGGGAAAGATTCGGTAATTCTTGATTAACAGATCGAGTAGGAGATATGGTACTCTGATCCTCGAGTATGGTTGATGAAATAATTTGTTTAACAGGCGATTTTATTGTTTCCGAAGAATGGTTTTCATTATGAAGTGCTACTGAGGATGAAACCACAGGAGAATTTTGATTTTCGTCCTTAGTATTACTGAACGATGTTTCTTGTTGATCTATTGCTGATGGAGAAGCTGCAGTAGGTGGTAAGATGAGTGATGGTTCTTCTATATGTTTTTCTGTCACAGGTGAAATGGATCGGTTTTGATCTTCATCTTGCTCGATGGTAGGTGATGTAGATCGACTACTTTGTTCAGCGTTCTCCACACTAGATAATGGAGATTCACTTTGTTTAATGTCTTGTTCGGTAAGTGACAGTGATCGACTTTTTTGTGGTACATCTTCCACAACAGGTGACGCAGATCGACTACGATCAAGTTTCTGTTCATTGATACGTGGCGAAGAACGACTCTGCTCTTCTCTCTCTTCCATAGTAAGTGATGTTGATCCACTTCGTTCCTGTTTCTCTTCAATGATCGGTGATGCAGATCGGCTTCTTTTCCCAACCTCTTGCACAAATGCTGGTTGAGAAAGACTATGTTCCTGACTCGTTTTCGCGACGAGTGAAACGAGTCTGCTGCAGTCTTCGCTTTGCTCAACAATAGACGATGGAGATTGGCTGTGTTCATGTTTTTCTTCAGTACTAGGAGATGGAGGACGACTTCTCTGCTCTCCCTCTGGGACAGTAGGCGATGAGGATCGATTATGTTCATCGATTCGTTTCGTAATCGGCGACAGTGATTGGTTCCTTTCATTATCTTCTTCGACACCAGGCGATATCGACCGACTGTGTTCATTTTTTTCCTCTGTAAAAGATTGTGGAGAGGCACTCCTTTCTTGTCCCTCTTGAGACGAAGGTGATGGAGATCGGTTTTGTTCATCTTTATGTTCAGTAGTTAATAATTGGGATTCGCTTCGTTGTAGTTCTTCTTGAATAGCAGCCGATGGGGATCGACTACGTTCATCATTTTTTTTTGTAATAGGTGACGATGATTGGCTCCTTTGTTGCCCTTCATCTAGCACAAGTGATCCACATCGACTGCGGTCAGTTGTTTGTTCGGTAATGGGTAATGGAGACTCGCTCCTTCCTTCTTTTTCTTGAATTACAAGCGATGGAGATCGACTCTTTCGTTCTCTTCCGTCTGCAATGAGTAATGGAGACTGACATCGTTCAAGTTCTTCTTCGGTTGCAGGTGATGGCGATCGGTCTTTTTCTTGTTTTTCTTCAGCAG